CGAGTAGAGCCCTGAGGACCGGAGCGCCCACACGCTTGTAAGCAGCGTGTGCGTGCTCCCCAAACCCGATATGGTCCTCTGCTCCCGCCGTATCTGCCCCTCCCACTGACCGTACTAATCGTCCCACCCTCTCTTGACCCCCTAACCACCTCCCCCTCCACTCCCACGCCGCGTCCCTCAGACAGGCTCGGCCTTAGCCGACAGTGCCAGTGTATTTTAATATATTTAATATATTTAATATATTTAATATATTTTAATATATTTGCCAGTGTATGTAAAGCAAGCAGTAACATGGCTTAGGCATTGTATAATAGCAAAATGCATAATATTATTTTTCATTCTTCATACATTATTGAGCCAGCTTTATGGCAAATTCCAGTAAGTTTTAAAGAATGAAGTTCACTGTATTTCAGACCAAGGGCACATTCTTCTGGGAGTCCTATGATCAGTGTTGCCTTTTAAAGTTGGAAGCACCTTAACAAGATTCTAATTAGGTCTGTTTCCTAACTCCCACCAAATTATTTTCATATCTGTTCTTGAATTAAAAAAGCCTGAAATTTAGAACCATCTACTGAGCACAATTAATAATGTATTGAAATGATGTGAATTACTTCCAGGTGTTTTGCAATGCAATATTTAACACATGTGTGTTATTATTTCTCTGTTTCTCTGGTGTAGCTCAAAAAGTACAGTTTACCATAACTTAACATTTTTTTTCTCAAATTTTAGTATAAAGGAGCACATGTAAAGCCAGGATTTGCTGAATATTTCTACAGCAACCCAGCAAGATACAAAGGAAGAGAAAACATGCTGGTACATCTTAAAATTACCCTAATTGATTACTAGTATACTTTTTCAATAGCTATTTATCTCTAAACAGTTCCTTTGTTTTCTTTTAGTATTATGACACCATTGAAGATGCATTAGGTGGTGTACAAGAAGCTCACTTTGATGGACTTATCTTTGTTCACTCGGGCATATACACAGATGAATGGATATACATTGAATCTCCTATAACGATGATTGGTGCAGGTATTCAATTTGAAAATATCTTAGTATCACTTGCTTTAATTAGCCATTGTATTTAACTTTCATAAACAGAGCCATTTGCTTTATAGTCATGTGAGAAATACCAAGACAACAAGCTACAAAACTAATACGTTATTTTTTACTACACTAAGTTCCAGACAGCACTCTTTATTTCATTTCATATTAGGTTTTTTTTGTTTCTGAGGAAACATTAAAACATTGAACAAGCTCCCCCCTTCTTCTTTTCCACAATAAAGTTCAGCCTCATCAGATTTCTTTCTTAGAAAGAGACCAGCATTTAAGTTGTTTCCCTTCTTTTTAATCCAATGAATATTTCAAATAAACCCACTTATTTTGCAATAGCTGGTTTCTCTTTTTTATGATTATTTTATTGTTCTTTCTCTCTTGAGCTAAAGTAGAAATGATTATATATTTTGCACTTTTGATAAAACTAATTCACTTTATTTTTTGGTTCCTATATTTTATACTGCATATTTTTGTTGCTAAAGCCTTTCTACTGACCTTGACAGAAGCAGCTTAATAAACTGGAGTTTCCTTAGCAAAGGGATGTTAATTATAAATTTCCTAATTGTGTTCGGGGTTTTTATTTTTGTGTTCTGCAGTGGAAAGTCTTCTGTACTATAATGGAAACTTCCATGCAGTATTTTACCCCAATGTTTTTCTACATTGGATACAATTTTATTGTCAATAAATTTTTCTTTTGTCCTTAAAATATGTTATTTTAGTTTAAAGATGCTAGCCTTGCCCCTCACATTAACACAGAATTGTGTTGAAACAAATCATGAATAGGCTGGCCACTTCTTACTTTATGTCTTTTTTCTGACAGTTCGTTCTCCCCTGCCCCCAAATGGACAGGCACATAAAGAAATTAGACGTAATTTAAGATCCTAAGCAAGCCAAGATCTTGATAAATGTAGTGGCTTATATATAAAAAATAAGCAACTGTTTCCTTTTGGAACATGCTAATACATTATACTAAACAGAAAACAAATTACATTATGATGTAGTATTAAATGCCAAAAATAGAGGAGCGCAGTGGTTCACATGGTTAGGATGCTGGGTTGACTAATAGCAATGGCAGGGTGAGCACCCATCATTCACTCCAGGTCCTGTCAATCTCACAGTTTGAGAACAAGTTATCACCAGTAAATAGATAGGTACCACTTTGGTGGGTGCATTAATGGGGACATGAAAAAAGTTCCTAACTGGGTGTCCTCTAGGCAACAGTGATGTCACCAGCTAATCCTTTCAACCCAGAAGTGCCTTAGATGCTTCTGACACAAACATGACGTGCCAATAAGGAAAAGACAACCCTGCCAACTTTGAGGCACTAGAGACTAAGATATTGTGGTTGGTTGCACAGTCAGCCAGATGTTTAGACTGGATTTCAAATTTAGGTCCACCTATCAAGTCCTTCCCAAGGACCTGGATAGATGTTGTTATTTAATAATATTAAAAGTGCCTTTTGAATCGACTGATATAATTATTGGGTTAATTAAACTGCAGATACCTTAAAATCTTCATTCATTCATTTGCAACTGAATCAAACAGCTCTTCTGGTATCTCAGAACCTGCAGCAGTCAAGTTGTTTAGTTAGGTCTGTGTTAGTTGGAGATGGAAGATATATATATATATATATAACCTTTTTCATAGCATAATTTGCCATTCAAAATTCATGTAACCTGCTTTCCTCTTTTCTGAAGGAGTGAGAGGGAAGGATATATCCGGTGGTGGGATTCAAATATGTGAACAACCGGTTCTCTGTGTGGATGCCGCTTCTGGAAGTCAATTCTGGGCCTGGGCAACAAAAAATTAGCTACCAGCTCTGCCGAAGTGGTGCAAACTGGCTGAATCCCACCACTGGATATATCTCTTCCCCAAATAGCTTATAATAACTAAAAGAGTAATATTTGTGGATAGGAAAACACGATGGGAGAAAGAATAATAATTTCCAAGTGCTGTTTTCCTAATCTAATACCAATGTAATGTAGTGACTAAGGTGCAGGAAAATTGGGGTTCTAGACTACTCTCAGCCACAGAAACTCAGATGTGGCTTTGGGCCAGTCACTGACTAAGTCCAAAATGTCTGAATAAACATGTATTTATATGTATATTCCAGGCTTGTAATTAAAGCCAATAGGAGCCAGCAAAAATATTTAATCATCTGCTTGGCCGCCTCCAAATCAAAATCTTAAAGTACTCCCCTGAATCCATTTAACTCCCATGGACATTAATGGATCTTCTGGGTTGTATTCCATTTTGCCTGAATTGATCACTGCACACAGAAGAAAATAATGTTTGCTGCCTCCAGAAGAGCATTATTTGATTAAAGGTACTATTTCCATGAAACTCTTTTGTTAGTTACATGTTCATATGAGCTTGATTACAATTCATTCTCTACTGCCAACTGGGAAAGTGCCAATAGAAGAGTAAACAGTGGTCACACCTCTGTAGCAGAGTAAAGGGAAAGGAATGGAGCCACTTGCCTTCAATGGTTCTCAGTGAAAGGATCTTACTGCTCATTAGCCAAGACAACAGTCATGCACCTTGGGAATCTGAGCCCAAGATGCCCCTACAATCTCACATTGCTGGTACCCTGCAAGCAGACAACTCTTCCTACCTTCCCAATCCCTTTCCCAATTAATGGTTGATGGACGTTTTAGGTTAAAGTAGCCCTACCATTGCCTTTAATTTCTTTGCTTCTTGATCATTATTCTTAGCTGTCCATTGTGATCATTTGTGAATTATAAAACTGGCAAATGCATAGCGGATTTCACCTCTTTTGGTCAAATGTGCAATCACAAATCTTCCTACTGTGGCTGGAGCATATTCTTTGTTAGATCGTTTTTTCTATCATTCTACCAGACAGGACCAAAGAATTTACTTTTATGTCTCTAGGTACAATGAAAGACCGTCTCTTGCCCACTCTGGTAAACATCGTGTTCATCATGTTCTCTGAGATTTACACTTATGGTTATATACCTGCAGAGAGCCCAATATAGGATCTTCAACAGTTCAGTACCCCCCCCCCCCATGCATACCATATGTCTAAGCACTGCTACTATCATAGGGTTAACGCATATGTGGTTGAATTAATTTTGAAAAGTCTCTATAGTGGTATTCTCTAATCCCTCTAACACCAGTTCTTCCATTTATGGATTCTTCTTATTAGTAGTATTCATGTTTTTCCAGTTATGTTCAGGTAGAGGAATTACTCTCAAAGTGAGATCCTGTTATACATTATACTGATTGAAATTGAGACTTTCTCCTTTGATGATTTTAATATCAGAGTTGGTTACCTCATGAGGTCTCACTCTAGAACAGCCAAAATATAGGAAAACAATTCAGTACGTGTAATAGGCTACTACTTTTGTAGTTATTGTACCACTGTGTCTTCTTTTATAATTGCTGAATACATCTACCAGTTCAGTGTTGTACTGTTTGACCTCCCCATGCTCTTGAGATTTTTTAAAAAAATGAATTGTTATGATCCTTCACCATCAAGGTATTTTGTTTCTTTATTGGGTGACTATGCCAGTTGTACATTCCTATGCTGAACTATCTCCCTGTGTAACTCAAGTCCCTCTCCTCCTCCTATCAGATTTTTAGGCTTGAACTTTGCAGAAGTTCCCAAGATATTTAGGTCAAATATGTGATCACAAATCTTCCTGCTGTGGCTGAAATGTATTTTTCACTAGATTGCTTTTTCAGTCATTGTGTCAAGCAACAATAAGGACATATTCTGGCCAGTTTTTCCTAATCAGTCTAGTAAATATATTGTTACTCATTATGATTTCTGTGATTTACATTTATGGGTTGGGTGCCTGCAGAACTGTTAAACTTCAGTTTGGTATCTGTTCAATAAGGCATGGCTTGATAAGAATCCTTATTGTATGTTAATAAACAAGGTCATTTTAATTTTGCTATGCCAGTATGAAAGTACCCTTCTTGTACTGATAGTCCTCAAGAAACCACAGACCACTTAATGAATGTTCAAAGTTATGACAGATACCCCAAAACTACATACGGCCCTGTTTCAAAGTTACAACAGCTGCAGCACTCACCCACCCCGCCTCTCTTCCTTCCATCCCAACAAGACCCTGCACTGCTTGGGCCTGCTCCCCATTTCTCTTGGAAGCAGCTGCCATTTTCAGCACCCTGACAATTCCTTGCAGAAAATGGCAGCCGCTTTTGGAGCTTTCTGCTTTGATCAGCTGGCCTTTGCAAGGCTGCAAATGTCTCCTGGCTTTTGCTAGACTTTGGGCAGTTAGCTCTGCATACAAAACCGGCAGCTTCAGGATAAACTTTTCAAAACCTTTCCCTTGTTTAATCCCTCCCTCTTTGAGGAAGTCACAGTTCTTCAATGAAGAAAACACAAAAAACTGGAAGGGTTGGACTTTTGCTGTCTCCCCACCCCCATCCCTCACAGCTAAGTGCTAAAACTAAACTCTCTGCCTCTGCTCTCTAATTTCTAACCCTTTTAAAAACCTTACCTTAATTCCAGGCTGAACAGTAAAGGGATGGAAGCAAGCAAGCAAAGAACATCTTTCTGCAGCTTTTTGCCTTGAGGAGTTGCTAAAAAAAAAAATTCAGCTCCAAAAGTTTAGCTGACACTGGTCCTTGCAAAGCTGTTTGTGTGACTTAAAAGGCAAGTCCTAGTGGATCCATTGTCTCTCCTATTTTGCTGCATGTGTACTGTATCCTGCTAAACTTTTGGAGCTAATAGGGAGAAAGTTCTGAAAGCTAGAGAACTGGTCCTTTTTTTACCCCAGAAAGACAGACCACCTTGGCAGGAGAAAGGGTAGGAGCAGAATTAAGAAAGGCAGGCACACCCAGTGTTTTCCTTCACCATTGTTTCTCGCTGGAAGACAGTTGTTCAGCTGGCCAGCATGCTGTCATAGGAAGTACCCAGGGGGTAAGAAGCCGAGCATGGGATATCTTGGAGTGGGGGAGGCCTGAGGCAGATGGGCCTGTCCCTGCAC